TGCATGTATGTATGCGTGTATGCATGTATGTATGCATGTATGTATGTATGTATGTATGTATGTATGTGTGTACGTATGTGCATGTTAAAAAAACACCAGTCCCAGCTGATGCAGGATACGAGCCTGGGTTCAACAATTACGAATCTAAGATCTAGGAAGATGCCAAGGCATCTTCGGAGGACGATGCATTCTTCACCAACGAGTCCTCGAACGACAGCAATGTCCCCTCCTGAATTGCTGTCAGATGCCAGAGACCTGCTTAAGCTGAGAGCGCACGCCGCACGCAGCATCCGATTGCACCGGCATTCTTTGCGTACGATGGACTTAGAAGGCCTCTTCAGACTTCAGCGCTAGCTATTCGCACCAAGTCTCCTAATGATCCAGGCCTTGGTTCTTGTGGGTGCCCAAGCCCGGATGGAAAAGCAGGGTGCGAGCAGCTTGTGCCAAGTTTCTCTGCAATGGCTCCACCGACGATGACCTGCCCCTTGATGCCAACCTATCAAATTGGAGCCTCGCCTATGTTATGAATGCCATATGTAACTCCGCAGACCGTAAGAGTTCTTAGGGCTGCGGGAGACAAGCCTCACAGGCTTGTGGTGCCAAGCAAGGAGAGGTTTTTCTTGCTTGGGCCTTGTTGGCCATGTCTGTGTGCTCTTGCCTTCGGACTTCCTCCGACTCGTCTTGGTGTTATATAGAAGCATGAATAGAAAGAATACCACTACAATTCCTTGGGGTTCCTTAAAGTAGCCAAAAACCCTGTATATCATCGGAAGGACTCTGAAGAACTTGTCGGAGGTGCTCTCCGTTTGGAACGAGTCCTTCAACAATAGCGGTAGCGACGTCCCTCAGCCGCGACTTGAAGCGGAGAAATTGGTCCTTGGTCGCCTCGTTTTGATGGGCTCAAGCTTTTTGATTGTTTCTTTGAAGGGGGGCGACGGGGGGGAACGGAGGGGTTTGAGCGAGGGCGAACTTGCCGACAACACCTCCGCCATCGCCGGGGAAGTCACCAATGCCTCCTCCGAAGATTATCTGGAAGATGACAATGAGTCCGTCGAGCTCAATGGCAACCTATCGGGCTCGAAGCTTGTTTGAGCTAGCAACACCTGGTCGGCCTGTGTCAAACCTGCGTCTGATCCAATAGCATCTCAGGAGCCAAGACAACATGTCGAAGTTGTCGGACACCAGTGACTTGGTCCCTTCATGACATGTGACATGGGTTACACGATAAGGTCTGGACGTCCGTCATGCAGCCGCCACATATATCGCTTTGCACCCCTGTCATTCAGCTTCTGCACGCAAGGCAACGGGTCCTGGAGTCTACCTGTGCCTTGGTGTGCAGTCCACAATTGCCCCATGTTCAGCCAAATGGCAGACGGGAAGGTCAGAGAGTGAACGTACACGTTCGACGGATCGATCCGATGATCCAGTCTTCTCAGCCTCAGACCTTGCTCCGGCCGAAAGTCAACGTGAAGCATGGGAGGGAAGTCCAAAATCAGGAATACGGGTGGGTGTGCGGGTGTGTGTGTGTGTGTGTGTGTGTGTGCGTGCGTGCGTGTGTGCGTGTGCGTGTGCGTGTGTCAGAGAGAGAGAGGGAGAGAGAGAGAGAGAGAGAGAGAGAGAGAGCCGAGAGAGAGAGAGAGAGAGAGAGAGAGAGAGAA